TACATGTGCCCTAGATTGAGAAGGTGTTAGGGGGTTCAAGCAAATGTTAAGCAGGCCGAAAAAGTCAGTCACGAATTTAGAAGCTATTAAGTTCCAAATAGTAGCTCAAGAGTTAGAAAGTGCAGTGGAAGTGTGGGATATCACGATGAGACAACAAAGAAGAAGATGCTGCATGATTGATCAGAAACCAAATACAGTACATGAAAAGTTGAGAATTCATTTCCCCAAGTTGAAAACGAATTCATTTCAAAAGGGGGAGTTTGTGATATCCCTAAACCCACTAAATCCCCCCCCCCCCCCCCCCCCCCCCCTAAGTCCTAAAAGCCATGTCATAAAGCCCACATCAAAAGCCTAAGCCTAAATTTTGCTAACCTGGGTCCCTCTCCTATATAGATTTCGCAAAGCAGCCTTGAACAAAAGACATCTAGCGAACCTCTACCAAATTCTCTGTAGAACAGTCTCCAATAGCTTTCCGAGTAGCGACCTTTCGAGATAGTTTCCCGTCGACTCTGAAGAACCCATATTGCGATCTTTGTGTTGTTGGAAAGAGAATTTTCCTATCTTTACAAAGTCTCTTAATTTGTAAACTTTATATGTATGTTCTGTTAGTTATAGCCATTTCAATTCGAGAGAATCAATCTGTCAAATCTTAGAAATCTTTTCCAAGTTTTGTTGAAGAAGTTGCAGGCCAATTTTCTGGCAAACCATATTGATCCAACCCCCGTTGAGCATCTCATAGGAAAGCCCATCAAGCCATTTTGCTGTGGCAATTTGCTGATCCCTGATCCGAGGTAAAATGCAAAAGTTATGTCAATTATCTATCCGTTAAGAGTCTAAATTGGAAAAATATGAAAACTCATTGGTAAGCAAGACGAAGAGAAACTATTATCCAAAAATCCTAGACTTTAGAATATTCTAATTTGGAGTATTTTTTATTTTGTGAAGGTTTCCATTTTAAAAAAGTTTTAAATTTGCGGATGTATGTTTAAAGAAATCTAAACACTATTATTCTAGTTGAAGTTTTTAATTGTCAATCGCAGTAATCACACCTTCCAATTCCTTGTTTCCAACCAAAGACAAAGGTGAGGACTTGTTTTTGATTCTCAAAGATGCATTAGCTGAATTAGTAATGTGTGTATTCCAAAGCACCATAACAAACTTATTATAAATACATTTATTGTCAAAAATTCATTTATTTAATCTGAATTGGAAATTCATAGCATCATAATGTGTGTAAGATTAAATTTTAATTTTTATTATTATAATGCTTTGAATTTCCAATTCAGATTAAATAAATGAATTTTTGACAATAAATGTGTTTATAATAAGTTCGTTATTATTTGAAAAAATCGGCTTAACGTGTGACAATCACTATTGGCTAAGATACTGGGTCTGCAATTTCTCAGGTAAAATGTTAAGAGTCTCCGTTAAGAAACAAAGAGCTAAGCTGGCGCCACAAATAAAAGTCAATAATGTTGAACTGAACAAGTAAAGACCGTTGACCAGGGCTGGCCCTGAAAATTTAGGGGCTCAAGCAAAAAAGAAAAATAGAACTGATAAATGTTTGATTTTACAAAATTTCGGAGCTTTTTGTTGCAACTAAAAAAAATATTGGGGGCTTATTTTCAATATTAAAAAGGTAAAAAAATTTGGAAACCAAGGTTAATGTTTTATTTGGCTTGGTCCAGAACCGGCCATGCGGTTGACTACTGACATCGTAAGGTATGTATATAGCTTTCATTTACATTTTCTGTTACAATATCTAGAAATTAGATCAGGAAATTGTGAGAGAGCGTGATTTCTCCAGTTTGCGCAATTTTTAAGAGAGTCTTCTTGAGATTAAAAGTTACCAATCATCATTGGAGAGTTTCCTTCACATATCAATAAATCGTTTGTTGAGTAGAATTAAATCGTGTTATTCACTTAGCATCAGTCTTATGTGTAAACCAAGGTCGAATCCGAACACCAACAGTAAATAATAATGATATTGCCAGTCAAACCATGAATGAAACAAAGAAAGCTACTCTCTTTTATTTCAAAATAAGTGTCATTCTAAAGTTTTATTTTTGTTTCATAAAAAGTATCACTTTATATTTTTAATGTATTATTTTGAATAAATATCCAGTTTTAACCTTTGACTTTTATTGTTTTAATTAGAAAGAAAATATTATTTTGTGTATAGGTAAAACATAATTTTAATAATTTTCTTAATTTATGTAAAAATATCAAAATGACACTAATTTTTAAATAGAGAGAGTATTTCTTTTTAAGGTGAGAGGAAATCCCCTATATATTAATTGAGAAGTATTTTTAAAGAGTAACCTCATTTTTGTAAGTATTTACAGTGGTGCCATTATGCTGATGTGTCAACCCCACATTTATTTTCAGCTAATTGTTTTCAAAAGACTCAGATTACTAGACTAATTACATGATATGCCATCCTTTATATATTTTAGGTCCATACATATGTTACGTTTCATTTTATAAATCAGCATTTAATTTATTAAGATATTATCTTTCTTTTATTTCTTACCAAAAATATATCATATTAATTATTTCTTTAATTACACTTCTACCAAAAACTATTTTTTCTCTTATTTTCATTTAAACTTACTTTTATAAAGTAAATAAATTATCACATCATCCATATAATAACAAATATATAGATTTTTTGTACATGTACTATAATTTGAATTTTAAAAATTGAATATAAAGTACTTTAATTATTAATAAATAAACATAAATCATTATAATTTGAATTCATTATAATCATTATAAAAATTGATTGTAATTTGAATTCATTATAGTCATTATAAATAAAAGTAAATAATTATAATTCAATTTAATTGACTCTTTCCAAAAGTAAATTCTCAATTAGCTCATAATTTAGATTATTTTCAAAATTTAGTATACAATAAACAGTATTTAATATTTGATATAATATATTTATGAGCTAATTGAGAATTTATTAATAAATTTAATGAAAATAAAATTTATTGTGTTTTATATATGTTAATAATATAAGTAATTTAATTTATGGCGCATTCACTAATCTAATTTAGGTATAAGTAATATATTAATTCAAATTTATTTTGTTAATTTAGATATATATATATTAAAAGATTTCGAGTAGACCGATAGTGACACTTTTATCTAATAAGTCATCAATGTTTAAAACTTATTTGGAGTAAAAATAATATATAAGATGAATAAACATCAATATTTTTATAGAAGCTAATAATAATAAATTTTATTTGTCATATTATTTTTTATATAATCAATCATAACAAAAACGCATCAAAACTCTAACCATATTATATCTTAAATTTAATATTCTGCTTTATTATATATACACTATACTCTCAATTTATTATTTATCATATATTTAATTATGCTTTATTATTATATTTTAGATAGTATTTTTGGATTAAAGATTTTTAGAGTCAATAATTATTCTTTTTTTTAGAAAGAGATAATTTATGGATATAATTATTGTTATCCAAATTAAAAATATAAAAATTGTGTCTTTTTTTTATTCATTCGATATAGTAAATAAGTAACAAACTATTTAAATAATAATATTTAATTATTATTTAAAAGTCAAAAATAATTAAATATATACATAAATATTATACTAAATTTAAATAAATAATAATTATTTCATCATGCGCTAGGTATAGGTTATTACCTAGTTTAATGTGAAAGGCTGTGTCCCTAAAAGTTGGAATGCATAAGACGTTTTCTGTAATTTACTAAAAACTCGAATAAAATAAATAAAAGAAGAATTGGTCAAACCAATTAATATTGGTTATTTGGATTTGGTTTTATTCGGTATGGTCGTTGCTGAAGCACTTGACTTGGCAAATCGTTGACTCATTATAGCGTGACAAATGGGGGAAATTTAAAATTCTGGTACGGGTTTAGAAAATGGAGGATAAGCAAAAGAGTTAATTACTCCTACCCTGATTAAGTTTTTCAATCACGAGTATATATATACACAGAAAAATTAATAAAACTTATTTTTTTCAAGAAAGTTTGATTAACATGTGGTATCTTTGATTTAGTTTGAGTTATGTGTATAACTCAAAAATGTTACCAATCATGCATTATTTTTGTTTTTTTGCATTAGAGTTTGAGTTACAATGTGTTATGGTTGCATTAAAATATTGAGTTATGTCTTTGTAAAATTTATAACTCAACTCAACATCTTAAATCATGGTAATTAATGAGTTACAAGTTGAGTTAGATATTTATTTTGCATTAGTGCAATTTTTTTTGTTAATAAAATCTTTTAAATAATTCTAATTTTTATAATCTATTTTGTTGATTAAAATCAGCTCGAAAATCTTTTTAACATTACTTGTCAAAACTATTTGTAAACATTTGAATTATCCAAATTTAGGTTTTCCTATATAATTAATTATTGATTTTATTTGGTATTTTAAAAATTACTTAAATAATATAATATATATATTTATATATGAATGCTTTTAGCTAATTGTTGATAGATACAAACAATATTAAAAATTCTAAGATATGTTTTTTATTATTATCTAAAATATTTTTTTTATTTTGATGAATTTCAAGTTAGTATTAATTTCTTTATTCAATTTTATTATTATAATTAGTATAAAAATATTAGTTTATATAATTTTATTTAATTTAATTTTAAATAATATATACTGCAACTTATACATAAAAAAAGGTACCAATCATCTATTTTAATAAAAATACTAACTCAAATTTTTACAGTAAATTTACCCCATTAATTTACTGTTTTTACCACATAATTTTACTGCAATTTATATATCGAATTATAACATCAACTGTATCTCAACTTTAAAAATACATATCACCAATCGAAAATAGAAAATAAGAAAACAGACCTTAAGAAAAACTTTTCCACCATCTTCAGTCTTCGCACTATAAATTGTGTTTATTTGTTCTACCTACTTTAAGTCTCCAACAAACTAAAAAGTATCTAAGCAAAACAAACACAGAGCAGCGAAAAAAGAGGAAGCCATGCTTTTTAAGCGCTTCACTATCATCTTCATCAGCATACTCTTTCAATCCCTAAAATCCTCTTCCCAAGTTCTGAACTTCACTTACAATGGCTTTCATACTTTTAGTGACATATCCACCCAAGGCATCACAGCTGTCACACCCAACGGCCTACTTAGGCTAACCAACACGACCGTTCAAAAAGCCGGTCATGCCTTCTATTCCAAATCTATTCGGTTCAAAGATTCTCCAAACAGCACCATTTCATCCTTCTCCACAACCTTCGTCTTTGCTATTTTCCCTCATATCCCGACACTTAGCGGCCATGGCATCGCCTTTGTCATTGCCCCCCCCTAACACAAGCCTCCCATACGCAACGGCAAGCCAATACATGGGTCTCTTCAACATCACTAGCAACGGTAATGACACAAATCATGTATTTGTTGTGGAATTGGATACAATCCAAAGTACAGAGTTCAATGATACCAACAATAACCATGTCGAAATAGATATCAATAGTTTGACATCGGTGCAAAGTTCACCAGCTGGATGGTGGGACAAGAAAGGCCAATTCAAGAACCTGACTTTGACCAGTTGTAAACCGATGCAGGTTTGGGTCGATTACGATGGTCGTACGCATAAAATTGATGTGACGATGGCTCCATTCAACGAGGACAAACAGAAGAAGCCCCTTGTTTCCATTGTCAGAGATCTTTCTTCACTTATTCTTCCTTAATATCTAGATTATTTTATTACAATTATCTAGAATTATTTCTAGATTTTTATTCTTTACATCTTTCTAGAACATTTTAAGGAAGTGGAGAAATTAGATTTTTTCTAGAGAAAACTCTAGAATTTGGATTAAGTATAATTGGGTTTTGGCCCAATTATTATAACTTGATCCAAAATCAAGTTTACTTCTCAACACCCCCTCTTAAACTTGATTTTGCTACTCCAAGCAAACTCCTCATCTTGATAAAAGCTTCGCGCTTGAGTGGCTTGGTAAAGATGTCGGCTACTTGATCGTTAGTCTTCACATACTCCAACTGCACATCCATCTTGGTGACACATTCTCTAATGTAATGATAGCGAGTGTCGATGTGCTTACTTCGATCATGGAAGACATGATTCTTTGCCAAAGCTATTGCTGACTTGTTGTCCACAAAAATCTTCGTTGGCTCCTCTTGTGGCAAAGTCAACTCTTTTAATAAGTTTCACAACCAAATAGCATGACAAACACATGAAGTAGCCGCTACATACTCCGCTTCACAAGTGGAAATGGTGATAATCGGTTGTTTCTTTGACACCCATGTGAATGCTGTTTCTCCAATGAAAAACATAAAACCACTTGTGCTTTTCCGATCATCTACGTCTCCACCCCAGTCGCTATCGCTATATCCAACAATCTTGTAATAATCAGAAATAGAGTAATACAAGCCAAGTCGATCGTACCTTTGATATAGCGAAGGATCCTCTTAGCTGCCTTGAAGTGAGTGGTTGTTGGATGCTCCATGTATCGGCTCACAACTCCAACTGCTTGTAAGATGTCAGGCCTTGTGCATGTTAAATAATGTAGACTCCCAACCATACTCTTAAAGAGTGTTGGATCCACACTCTCTCCTTCTTCTTGTTTTGATAGCTTGGCTCCACATTCCATTGGAGTACAAACTGGATTCGAGTCATCCATCTTAAACTTCTTCAGCACCTCTTTAGCATAACCTTCTTGAGAGATGAAGATTCCATTGTCTTCTTGTTTCACCTCAATTCCAAGGTAGTAAGACACCACCAATATCGGTCATCTCGAACTCCTTCGTCATCTCCTTTTTGAATTCCTCGAACATACTTGGATTGCTGCCTGTGAATATCAAGTCATCTACATACAAGCATGCAATCAATATATTATTGTTCTGTGGTTTGATATATAGTGCATGCTCATATGGACACTTGATGAAGCTTTTCTCCTTGAAATACTTATCAATTCGAGTGTTCCAAGCTCTTGATGCTTGTTTCAACCCATAGAACGCCTTCTTTAACCTCAAGACTTTGTCTTCTTCTCCTTTGACTATGTAACCTTGTGGTTGCTCAATGTAGACTTCTTCCTCAAGATCTCCATTTAAGAAGGCTGATTTGACATCCATTTGATGTATCCTGCACCTCTTTTGGGCTGCTAATAAAATGATTAGTCTAATTGTTTCTAATCGAGCAACAGGAGCAAATACCTCGTCATAGTCGATTCCAGCTCTTTGACTATAGCCCTTTGCCACCAATCTTGCCTTGTATCTTTCAACTTCTCCTTTGGAGTTCTTCTTCGCTTTGTACACCTACTTTACATCAATCGCCTTATGCCCATTTGGAAGTGAAGCTAACTCCCATGTCTCATTCTTCTGAATTGACTTGATCTCTTCATCCATTGCGTTTCTCCATATCTTCTTCTCCATTGCTTCTTGGAAATTCATGGGTTCGCAATTCGCAAATAGGCAAAATAGAGTAAGTTTTTCTTGGTTATCGGTTACCTCGTAAAGCTCTTGGAGACTTCTAAAACGTGGAGTCCTTTCACTTGAACTCTCATCTCCTTGAGAACTTGGTGTTGGTGAGGTTGGTGGAGTAACTGGCTCCTCTCTTGGCTGCTCCAAATCATCTTCGTCAACATGTGGAAAGAAGTTGTAATTCTCATCATTTGATCTCCAATCCCATTCTCCTTCTTCATCAAAGATGACATTCCGATTGATGATTGTCTTCGTTGTATCAGGATTGTAGAGCTTGTAGCCTTTGGAGTTTGTATCGTACCCAATGAAGGTGTACTTCTCACTTTTTTCATCTAGCTTGCTTCATTTCTCATCGGGTACATGAGCGTGGGCAAGGCTTCCAAAGACTCAAAGATGTGAAACACCAGGCTTTCTTCCACTCCAAGCGTCTTGTGGTGTTTTCTCCCAAACACTTCTCGTTAGAGATCTGTTTGATAGATAAACCGCACATGCAACTGCTTCTGTCCAAAACTCCTTTGGTAGCTTCTTACTTTTGAGCATGCTTCTTGCCATCTCAAGAATTGTTCTGTTCTTCCTTTCCGCTACTCCATTCTGTTGAGGGGATCTTGGCACCGTCAATTGTCTTCTAATGCCATTATCTTCACAATACTTCAGAAACTCTTTGGACATGAACTCTCCTCCTCGATCAGATCTCATGGCTTTGATCACAAGGCCACTTTCCTTCTCAACATGGGCTTTAAACTTTTTGAAGTTCTCAAACACTTTTGATTTTTCTTTCAAAAAGTAAACCCATGTTTTTCTTGAAAAAATCATCAATAAAGAGAAGGAAGTAGTTACTCTTACCAAATGATCTTGGTTTAATTGGGCCACAAACATCTGTATGTATGAGCTCCAATGGCTTCCGTGCTCTTGTCTCTTACTCCTTTGGAAAGCTCATTTTGAATTGCTTTCCAAGTAGGCACCAATCACACACCTGATTTGGATGATTGATGCAGGGCAATCCTCTCACCATTTCTTTCTTAGAGAGTAGCTCCAATCCTCCAAAGTTGAGATGTCCATAACGAAGATGCCAAAGCCAAGACTCCTCCTTGTAGCACATCTTGAGACATTTTGCGATGTCATTTTGAATGTTCAGAACAAATATTCTATTCTTTGACATCGGCACCTTGGTGATGAGATTGTTAGCTTGATCTTTTATAGAAAGGTTATTGTCCTTTACTCGAATATCATAACCTTTCTCTAAGAGCTGTCCAAGGCTCAAGATGTTGGTCTTCATGCTTGGAATATAGTAAACGTTGGAGATGAATTGGTGATCTCCATTCTTCATTCGAATGAGAATTTTTCCTTTACCTTTCACCTCTATTTTTGATTCATCCCCTAAGGCCACGTCACCTTTCACCGACTCATCAAGCTCCACAAATATGCTTCTTTTCCCGCACATGTGATTGCTTGCGCTGCTGTCAAGATACCACTTGTGGACCTCATCTCTTTCATCCTTCTTGTACGCCATTAGCAGCATATCTTCTTCTTGGCTTCTTTCTTCAGCATAGTTGGACTTTTCTTCAACTCTATTATTGTTTGGAGCTTTGCATTCGGAAGCATAATGTCCAAACTTCCCACAATTATAGCATTTGACATTTGATTTGTCGTACCTTGATTTTGGAATTCCTCTCCCATGTCCTCTTGATGAGCTTTCTCCTCTTTGGTTAGTCTTGTCTTCATAGGACCTCCAGCCACGTCCATTTCCATAACCATAACCTCTTCCTCGTCCTTGACCGCCACCTCTTCTTGGATGACTTCGGCCTCTTCCATCTTTGGTTTGATCAATTTGCATCTTGAGAACTTGTTCTGCAAGGTCTTCCTTCTTCTTCATCTTTTCTTCATAGGCTTGTAGTGATCCTAGTAGTTGCTCCATTGTCATATCCTCCAAATCTTTTGTCTCTTCAATGACAATGACAATATGCTCAAATTTTGAATCCAACGATCTAAGAACTTTCTCCATGATTCTCACTTCATCTAGCTTCTCCCCATTTCTCTTTAGGTTATTAGTAACCGCTAGAACTCGTGAGAAGTAATCTTGGACGAGTTCACCTTCCTTCATTTGCAATGCTTCAAATTCTCCTCTTAGAGTTTGAAGACGTACCTTCTTGACTTCTCCGCTCCCTTGTAAGAAGTTCGAAGATTCTCCCATGCTTCTTTGGCCATCTTTACTCCGGCGACCTTCCCGAATATGTCTTCATCTAATCCTTGATAGATGAGACAGAGAGCCTTCTTGTCTCTCTTCCTCGAGTCTCTCAAACTATCCTTTTGAGTTTGAGAAAGACTACATTCATTCTCCGGTTCAATGTAGCCTTTTTGGACAATCTCCCACACGTCATGTGCTCCTAGAATGGCCACCATTCTTAGACTCCAGTTGTCGTAGTTTCTCTTTGTGAGTATTGGAACTTGGAAGAGAATACCATTGCTTGCCATCCTTAAGAGAATCAACCTTGCTCTGCTACCACTTTGTTGCAAAGAAAGAACTTTTAAGAGTGATGAAAAAGGTGTTTAAGAACTTGAAAGACAAATGAACAAATTTAAGAAGAAGAAAGTTTTAGAACTTAGAGAACTTAGAAAATTTACTTAACTTCTCTTAATATTTCTCTTTTCTTCTTTGTTTACAAATGAGAGAGGAGATGGCTATTTATAGTCTCCAAAGTACAAAATATCTAAAATATTTTAATCCTAAATCTAGATTATTCTTCCTTAATATCTAGATTATTTTATTATAATTATCTAGAATTATCTCTAGATTTTTATTCTCTACATCTTTCTAGAACATTTTAAGGAGGTAGAGATATTAAATTTTTTCTAGAGAAAACTTTAGAATTTGGATTAAGTATAATTGGGTTTTGGCCCAATACTTCTCAACATGAGGCTCCTTTGTCTTTATGAAAACTCCCAAAGCTTCCTCGGTTCCAGCCTAAGAGAATATCAGATTTTTTCAAGTTTGGATTGCCGTCGATTTCCCTCTTTTTAATTTTCTCTTTCACCTTCCTCGTCTGCTTCATGGTGAGGAGGCGGAGAAAGTTAGCCGAGGAGCTCGACGATTGGGAAACAGAGTTCGGTAAGAATAGATTAAGGTTCAAAGATTTGTACTATGCGACCAAAGGGTTCAAGGAGAAGGATCTTCTCGGATCTGGCGGGTTTGGGAGGGTTTACAAAGGTGTGATGCCCGGGACAAAGTTGGAGATCGCTGTGAAAAGAGTCTCACATGAGTCTCGACAAGGGCTAATAGAGTTTGTGTCCGAGATTGTGAGTATTGGTCGGATGAGTCACCCGAATTTAGTCCCTCTTTTGGGTTATTGTCGCCGAAGAGGCGAGCTTCTTCTGGTGTACGATTACATGCCCAACGGAAGGTTAGACAAGTACTTGTACAACACTCCAGAGGTAACACTCGATTGGAAACAGAGGATTAAGGTCATTTTAGGTGTTGCCTCTGGCTTATTCTACCTCCACGAGGAATGGGAACAAGTGGTCATCCACATAGATGTTAAAGCGAGCAACATCTTGTTAGACGAGGAGCTCAATGGGAGAATTGACGATTTTGGCTTGTCTCGATTTTATGATCACGGGACGGATCCTCAGACAACAGATGTCATTGGGACATTAGGATACTTAGCCCCTGAACACACCCAGACAGGACGTGCCACAACTGCAACTGATGTTTATGCTTTTGGGGCGTTTTTACTAGAAGTCGTGTGTGGTAGACGTCCTATCGAGATCCAGCACGAGAGCAATGGAACTTTTTTGCTCGTGGATTGGGTTTTTTGGGTTATGGAACATGGAAAACATCTTAGATGCTAAAGATACGAATATGGGTTCCGAATATGATGAAAAAGAAGTGGAATTGGTTTTGAAGCTAGGTCTATTGTGCTCTCACTCCAACCCACGGGCTAGATCAAGTATGAGGCAAGTGCTACATTGTCTTAGAGACGATGCAAAGTTATCAGATTTGTCCCCGTTAGACTTGTCCAGAAGTGGGATGATGTTTGGGGTCCAAAACAGATTTAGTGAATGAATGATGTTGTACTCTTCCTCTGTCATTGAAGGTTTTACCGATAGATCTTCCATAGCTGATTCTTTACTCTCCGGGGGGAGGTGAATGTGTTGAATATTAGAATGTTTTTGTGTGTTTTGCAATTTATATGTAAATACTCTGGCACCATATAAAAATAATTTAATGTATACTGAAGTAAAGTAATTGAAATATTTTTCTAATTTTTTTCTGGCGGAATCTAATCTTTGTCGTTTTTATACTTACAAAATGCTTTCACATTAGCATTGTGAAAAAAAAAGTCTCACTCAAACATATATATTAAGGATTGAAAGAACATATAAAATTTATGGCGTTAAAACCTATTTTAATGTAGAAATTTCCATTCAAACTATAAAAAGTGGTAAAATGGTCAAAAGCACATATATATATATATATATTAACTTTGTTTAAGCAATATATGAGATCATCATACTAGAGGCATAGCTTAAAATTTTATGAGGTAATATATTATTATTCATAATTTTGTATGTTTTTATACTGTATTACTAGGTGATCGGTCTGCACCTTGTGCGGACTAAAAAATATTATATATATTTAACATATATGATTAATATTATATATTAAAGATGTTTTATTTATATATGATTGATTATGTATTAATAATATTATTATATAAACATATAATAATATAAAATAAAAATAGTTGTAAAAAGAAAAAAAAATATATATATACAGCAGAACCTCTATAAATTAATACTCAATAAATTAATAATCACTATAAATTAATAATTTTTAACGATCCCAAGTCGGGGCAATGTAAAAATTAGCAAATTTCTATAAAATAATAAGATAATAATTTTTTTGAAACTTCTATGTAAAAATATAGTCCTAATAATTAGATAAATTAATAATTATACATTTAAACATATATAAATAATATAATATAGTAAAATATAATTATATTATTGTTTCAGGTTTATAAAAATTATTTGATTTATTTTTCAAATTTACTTATATGATATTTTCTGATAAATTTTAAATTGTTGAAAACTTTTTTTTTTGTTTTTTGACAAATGTTTTGAATTTGAACTGAAATATTTCTCTATAAATTAATAAAATATTAATTTTTCGATAAATTAATAATTATTAATTTATCAATTAATTAATAACTTTATAAATTAATAAATTTTTGAAGTCCCAACATTATTAATTTATAGAGGTTTTACTGTATATATATAAAATAAAAATAAAGCAAATGAAAAATGTTATAGATTTCAATAGAAATTGAAGATAAAAAAAACATTAACCAAGATTTTAAAATACTTCCTTAGATAAAATGGGTTTTACCATGTTTACTTATTCTAAAAACGGTTAGGTGGTTGGTTCGCAAGAATGTAAATCAAAAAATATAAATTGACTAATACTTAAAATTAAAATTAGACTGTAATCAAGGTTAACAAAATGTATGCACGACAAGTTTGCGTGCGACTTAATTTTTTGCGTAATTAATATTTATATCTACACGCATATTTTTGAAAAATCAAAATATGCTTTTTATGTGTTAAAAGAAAATAAAAATACATGTTTTCTAATATATATTTTTATAATATATATTATTAATTTTTATATAAAATAATACGAATATTTATGCATGTAGACATGAGTTAGAAGTAAGTGAATTATAGTATTTACGTGTTGGCTAGTTTTTCAGATATTTTTTGCAAACATTATGTTTTGACACGATACAGTTTTTGGCGTTTAACAACAATCACAAAAACCGTTTCTATCCTTTTGTATTTAGTAAAAATTTCTTTTTTTCAGCATTTTATGATATATGGTTTTTCAATAAAAATTATAATTAACATTTATTATAAATTTTGTCAGTTCTTATTTTATAAAATTCTCTGGTAGCTCTCCGCTCATCTCTTTGTCAATTTTTTTGTAGCCAACAATCGCTCGCTTCCACAAACTCTCTGTAACTGCAGCGTTTAAACCAGCGGAATCCTAAACATATATGTGTATGATTTAAGGTGTACAATAATATATTTAATATTTGACTGTTATATTAAAAAATAAGAGTTCTTATGTTCCAAACTTTGATATATGTGTTAATCTTTTATATAATGGATCACAATATATACAAAACTTGATTCATGAAATAATGTTTTAATATGTTAAAAATATATGCATAAAAGAATTAATATGTGTAAGATAATATTTTAAAATATTTCAAAATAAAAGCATAAAGTCGATCAAAATTATTCTTTTTGTCTTCTTTGACTCATATTTTTTTTTAACCTTGAATAATATATTAAACATTAAGATCATCTCCAATATATTTTTCTATTTTTTTCTCTAAAATATAGATAGATTTTTCTCCAACCTATTTCTATTTTAAAGGCAAAAATAAAAATTGTTTCTTTTTCCTCCAGTTATAGAGGAAAAAATAACATCGCTATTTTTTCTCTAAATCAGAAGATTTAAAATAATGATGTGTTGAGAATGCTTTAAACCAAAGATATAGCCTGATATTTTTACAGAAAACCAAAATCATAAATATTCATTTTTACTTTTACTTTTACTTCTTATTCATATATGCAGTATAATAAAAACAAATTTGTTAAGAGGATAGCTATAATTTATTTTACTATCTGTTTATTCTTTTGTTTCATTTATAATTTCGAATTCTTGCTATATAATAAGAATGCATTCAATTTTTTTCTTATTTAAAAATGAGATTTATTTTGTTTTAACTCAACCAATCAAAATATTTTGTTTGTTTTAAAAAATTTTCCATGTCAAATTTCCAGGTCACTATTCCAGGTTAATATTAATTTGCACTAACTTTTGCTAAAATTGTGACACATCAGAAATTTTTCATTAAACCTGCTTCTCATTTAATATAATAAGAATGCATTCACTTTTTTCTTATTTAAAAATGAGATTTATTTAGTTTTAACTCAACCAATCAAAATATTTTGTTTATTTTAGGAAACTTTTCATGTCATATTTCCATGTCACTATTCCAAGTCAACATTAATTTGCACTAACTTTTGCTAAAGTTGTGACACATCAGAAATTTTCATTAAACTTGCTTCTCATTTAATAGTTAGGATAGAAAAAAGACAAGCATTGAAAGCTAAATGAAAATGTTAAATATTTAGTTTTTCGATTTTCGTTTTGTTCAAAACTATATACTATACAATTACTCGAAGGTGAAAAACAATTATCCGTTGAACATAAATTTCACTATCCTGGTGAAAAAATATCTGTAAAAGGAAACAAACACCGAAATACTCAGACACACAAAAGTCAAGAAAACAAAAGAAAAATATATATATGAGTGTGACATTCCAAACTCAATTAAATTTCTCAATCCAGTTAAATTCCTTCACATCTAAAGCTGAAAAGGTAAGATTTATTTCAACGCTAAACTTAACTGTTGCTAACCCTCCTCCTTGGACTATTTAAAGGACGACTCGATCAGATGTTTAGATGTTTAGATGTCTACATGTGACCGATAGCTTGATCGATAGGTTGGCTATCGGTTTTGTAGATGACCGATAGGGTGACCGGAATACGTCCGATATGTGTATCGGTCACTCCTTGTGACCGATAGCTTGATCGATAGCTTCCTATCGGTCACTCCTTGACCGATAGCCTTCGTGCCTCGACCGATAGGGCTTTTAGAAAACGTCTGCCTTGGCTCCTCTTGCTCCATCTTAGCTTAGCTAGCCTTTTGGTTCATTCCCGCAGCTCCTCCTTACTCCTCATAGCTCCATAAGCACCTAAAAACATCCTTGATGCAAAGAAAATGCAAACTGCATCCTAAATGCAACCTAAATCAAAAAGGAGAAGAAAATGAGACTAAAGAAAGAGAAAACATGCAAAAGAAGACCAAAACATGAACTAAATGCAAGTCTAAATGATGTAAATGTATAAGATATCAACACCCCCACACTTGATTTTTGCTTGTCCTCAAGCAAATAAGAACAAATGAGAGAGTGAGGTTTGAAGGTGGGCATTCAAATCCAAAAGTGCAAAGGTAAAGAGATGGAATCAATGCTTAAGTGCTTAGTTGTGGGATGCAAACACAATTAGCTATACTTCAAAGAACTTAGCCATGCTCATCATGTTTCTAAATGATCTCAAATCAATCAACTCTTAAACATTCATTAAAAACTTGTAACCATGAATCATGTTTATGCAAATCAAGAGAAGACATTAGGTTCAAAGGGTAAGGTCATGAGATTAAAATGATCTCATTCAAGCAAAGGGTTTAATAGCACAAGGGATCACTCAATGAAATGATTCTATCTTAGGCAAAATGCTAAAGTTAAAAGCACACTTATGCATGCAATTCAAATCTCTCTTCTACCTTTTTACCCAAAGATGAATCCTAAACACTTCTAAACCCTAAAGTGAATCCCCAGATCTACCCTTTCTCCTTCTTCATGGCTGGGGAAACTTCTTCCTTTTGCTTGTGTGGCTGCTTCTTTTTGATGGGACTTGCTCCTTTTTGTTGAATTGGCGCCATTTTTCACCTTTGGTGGATTGCCTTGGGTCTGATTTCTCCTTTGGATTGACCCTTTCAAAGCTTTGTTGTTGGCGCCTTCCTTCTTTGAACACTTTTACTTAACCACAATTCTAGACTTATTTCCCCATACTACCATTTCAAACTTTTCCTCCTTCTTTTAAAGCATATAAACATGAAGTTCAAACCACTTAACTCTACCCTTTTATCCCAAACTCCTTACCTAGAATCAAGCTCAAAATGCAAGTTGATATCTACAAGAGAGCTTTTCATTGCCAGCCTTATTTCTAACACTTTTTGCCAAGACGAAATTCGAAAATGATATGCAAAAGCCTCACAGCTCTCAAGATAGTGTTTAAGCTCAATAGGAGGTTTGGCTAAGGGAGTGGATAAGCTATTTGGATCAACAAGAGTGGTAAGAAGGAAAAAGATGATCCAAATATGTATATGGTAGCCATAAATTCACTTTTCAATGCACATACATAAT